TTTTGGGCAACTTGGTTGTTTGTGGAAAATAATATATATCTTGCTTGTTATAAGTGGAAAATATTAATCACAGGGCACTGTGAGACAAATATATTTATTTTTATTTATGTATTTATTGGTTTATGTCTCTCTGTGTGTGAAGGTGCCCATGGAGGCCAGAAGCAGCATAAGATTCCCTGGACACAGAGTTTCAGGTGGTTTTGAGCTGCCTAAGGTGGAGCTTGGAAATGGAATTGGGTCATTTGCAAGAGCAGTGGGTTTTCTTAACTGCAGAGTCACCTCTCTATCCCTTCACTATAATGCTAATGTAGATATAATGTTTAAAAGAACACAACTTGACACATTTGGAGCTAAAGAAGTCACATATCAATATGATCATAATGATAATCATCAGTATTTCCTAGAAATACATTAATGAATGAAACTCATCCAGATGGAAAATTATGATAAGCACCAAGCTCAGTCATAGAACTAATTGGATATGGTTTTCTCCATCCCAGGAACAACAACAAAAACAGAGGTATCAAAAATAACACTTCAACAAAATAATGGATTTATCCATTGCTATTTGTTCCATGCCTTTAAGGGCTAGAAATATGTCATCATTTAATTTATGAAAAGAGAACTTCATTAAGGTATGCTTTACATGAAATAAAATATGCCCACTTGTATACCTGATAAGATTTGTCAAATTCATATACCCCTGCCACCACTGTCACAATCTAAAACAGCTATTTTCAGTAACATAAATGTTCCCTGATGCCCACTTGTAATTCATCCTCCACCTTGGTCCTAAGCAACTATTTTCCTGCTTTCTTTCAGCATAGAACTGCTCTATTTGTTCTTGAATATTTTTCTCAGAGCATGGTATTTTTGAAATTACTCCAAGTCATATCAGAAACTTGTGCCTCTATATTTCTAACATGCATGGTATTTTAAAAAGTAGGACAATTTGTTTATCCAGTCACCTATAACTAATCTATACTTTAATCTTCTATTTGGGGGCTGCCATAGAAAAAAAAACTTTCTGGGGTTGGAGAGATGACTCAGGGATTAAGAGAACTTGCTGTCCTTGCAGAAGACCAGTACTCACATGGTGGCTATCAACCATCCTTAACTCCAGTTCCAGGGAATCTGATGCCTTCTGACCTCCATGGATGTTGCATGACATGGGTGAACTTATATACATGGAGGCAACACATTCATACACATAAAAAATAAAGATGGGGGCTGGAGCGATGGCTCAGCAGTTTAAGAGCACCGGCTGTTTTTACAGAAAACCTAGTTTGAATCCTAGCACCCATGTGGCAGCTAACAGCCCTCTGTAACTCCAGTTCCAGTATCTCTGACACCCTCTTCTGTCTTCCACGGGGTTGCACGACACAAGTGCACTTATACACACGCAGGGATAACACTCATACATATAAAATAAAAATAAATGAATCAAAATATAAAATGTAAAAATAAAAAATAACAAAATTTTTTAAAAAGAAAAACTTTCTATGAATCTTCTTTGCAGGTCTTTGTGTGTATATGTGTTTTCAATTGTATGGGGGATAGTATATGAGTCTTGACACTTTGTTATACTTTTGTTACATTTAAAAACTATTTATTTTGTGGTGTGTGGGTGGGGGAGGCATATATGTGCCATGGCATTTGTGTGAAGGTCAGAGGACAACTTGTAGATGTGTACATGTGTATTTATGTCACGTATGTAGAGATACCCATGGAGAACAGAAGAGAACATCAGATCCCTGGGGCCGGAGTTAGAGGTGGTTGTGAGTCATAGTTGTGTGTCCTGGATACTGAGAAAGGAACTCAGTTCCTCTGGAAGAGTTCGAAGCTACAGCTCTTAACTGCTGAGCAATCTCTCTCACCTGAGTCTTTCTTAATAACATTCTGTAGTAGTATCCTGTGCTTATGGTGTGAGTGGTGAAAGGACAGAAACATAGCTTTATACTGACCATCTCAGCAGCTGAGCACTTTTTCTAGATTTGTAGGAACTTTGAAACAGGGCAAATCTGTGTTGATGGCTTCAATGCTGAAAAACATTTCAGGACTAGCAGAGTAATAATGAGTTAAAGAATTTTATTAAAGGTGATATAATATAATAATATTAAGCACAAATGTTAAGAGAAAGTGAGGCACTCTGAAGAAAGGAAGACACACCCATGTGTGGGAAACCTGCTTCCCAAGAGAAAGTAGGTGAAGGTGGGATGAAAGCCATTACCAACTATGAGCATAGGATCCTCAAGGGAGAATAAGCAATTCATTTTCTTAGAATTTGCCATATATACCACTTTGGTGGCTCTCAAGTTATATTTCACAGTGTTGCTTGGAAGACTTCTTAGCCCTCTTTTCTTTTGTATTTAATAAGAGACACTTGAGGTGGCCCTGGAAATGACTTGGAAGGGATTATAATCTGAAAAGGTGAAACCACAGGCCATTAGAGTTAAACAAGGAGATAAACATCAAATGTCCTTTCCCTGTACAAGAGGTTTCTGATAGATTCCTAGAAAACTGAGGGTATATTTTTGGGAAAGGAGAAAAGCCATAATCAACTGTTAACGGAGCAGGAATTCTTCCTTTTCTTCTGGAGAGAGGCCTCAAGCGTATTCCTGAGTGACAGGATCAGTTTCTTTCTCACATCCCCTGTATTTTCCCTGACTTTCTATCCTCCACTAATTGTTTGTATTTTTACTATGAATAATTATGCTGGCTACCTTTTTATATTTTAAATGTCTCTCGGATACTTTGGTGAAGTGTTCATATTTTCTGCTAATGTTTAACTCCTTGTTTATCTTCTTGATATTGAGTTGAAAAGTTTTTTAATGTTGTATTTCAATTATTAGTCAATTTCAACTTTGATGAAGTCTGATATTTCTATTATTTGTATCAGTTTTTAGTATTTCTTTCATTACCCCAAGAAATTTATCAGTGTCCTAGACTTATTTTAGACTATTAATGTTTTTCAGTGTTTAAAGAAAGCAATCCAAGCTCTGAGAAGATCAGCAGGTAAGAAGGAATGCAAACAAAAAGCTAAGTGAAGACAGTGTTTAAATAAGGATAAAATGATAAACTATGACAATTACTGCTATTAGGTCACATAAAGTGAGGATTCACAGTTGGCCACTGGATTCTTTCAGTGCGTGATTCAATTCTGACTATGACACAGATACTTACATGGAATAATAGGGACAAAAGGCCAATTACACTGGCAAGAATCATAAAAGATACATTGGAGTCAGTGAGTGTAGCTAGTGTTCAAGGTTTTTTGTTATAACAAGAAGTCTTAAGATGAAGCAGAAGATGGAGGGAGATGTGACATTAAAAACTATGTTGATTTCAAAGATAAGTAGAAGAAAGAATATCTCTGTACTACAAATAAGAAGATGTAGAGGGGAGAGAGTGGGAGGGGTGATGCTTTTGAAATACAGGAGACTACTTGAAACCCCTTAACATCTTTAGAAAGTATGGTGGGCCAAGTGGAGTACAATGGGCTTCACCTAAGGAGGAATCATGCAGCAATTCCAGAAGCCACACCTGTGGACAGCAGACACAGAGGCTGATACTTGAAGAGATGCAGTGGTAGAAAACTAATGAAACTATTTTCTTTTCATTACTTAGTAATATGGGAAACAAGGCAATCAACTATCCTGGAACACAGGACAGAGTGTTTGGAGACTAGAATAAAGGGATAACCTATAAATTGAGTGAATTCCTCTTCATCAGAAAACTTACTACATGATGATTGATTTTCTCATGCATCCCCAAATAATGTTAAAATCTTGTAAGTAAATTTTATTTTCATATCTAAAAAGTTATAGCTTTAAATTAAACTTTAGAGATTAAGATTAGATTAAGACAAATATCTCAATAAAATTCCTCATCAGAATTTCTAACCATCAATTGGTGTGAAGAAGGAGGCACTAGGAGCATCACATTTTATCTGAAGGGATAATGGTACATACCTGTAATCCCAGCACTTAGGATATTGAGTCAGGGAGGATCATGAATTCAAGGCCAGCCTGAACTGCATCCTGATACTCTGTCTCATGGAAAACAAAACAAAACAACAAAATAAACAACAAATCGTCTCACTAAAATGTCTGATAATGGTACTTGTTTATATGGAATATGGGATTGCCAGTGTCCGAAGAAAATAATACATAGACATCACAACGTCATCACAAAATCAAGTTGTAGAAACCTTGGTTTCCAGGCAAAATCAAAACAAAGTCAACAGTTATCTTTTGACTTAACAGCACTTCATTTGTGAATTTAAGTTCTAAGCATCCATTTAGTTAACTCTCATTTCTTAATAATATAATTTATTTTTTATCAGAACCTGAAAATAATCCAAGCTATGATTATCACCTTATGTTATAGACATGGTGTCATATGTCAGTATTTTTTTAGGCATGTGTTTTGTATATTGCTTAGCTTTTATTTCCTAAGCAATTAGTCTCTGCACACACCAATACCAAAACCCAAACATATTAAAAAGTTTAGTCAAAGGGCTCTGTGTTCTGTCCAAAGGATATTTTTTAATTAGCTGTCACACAAGCACATGCACATTGTTCTTTACTCACGAGACTGCAAACATACTACTTATGAAAACAATATTCCTCTATTTCACTCTACTTGTCTTATGTGCTTCCCTATCTTTAAGACCCCTAACAGACATATTTTTTAAAATCTAGTTTGTACTAGTCCTTAGATCTTTTATTTCCCTTTTCTTCTAACTAGCAGTAGAAGCTGCTGGCACGCTTCAGAAAGCTTACGTTTGAATACAGTCTAAATCAGTGCAGACCCTTGACCAGCTTAATCTTTGCTTGCAAACGACAATGCAGTGAAACCAGAGGAGAAAAAATAAAAGCTACTGCCTTTCCTGTTGGATACCTAATAAGTAGTTAGTCTGACCCAGTTTTCAATAAGAGCGATTTTCTGACGACCCAACAGGAGTGACTATCTCTAGTCAAAGGAATAGGAGGGGGAATTTAATCTTTCATGCCACTGGAATGGCAGCTGCTTCCAGCTCCCTGAGTCTGTGAAGGATGAGGAAGATAGAGGTGGCATTCAGTGTGGAGAGAATTTTCCTTTTGAATATTCCAAATGAGAGATTTGCACATGTGCCTCAAGAACTAATTGTCTAGGTTCCGTCAGAAATGCAGCAGGAGAGGAGCGTATTTCATGCTTAAGACCAGAGAGGAGCCACGCAATACTCTGGATAAAAGGCTTGCAGTCCCAGCTGGGAAAAAGAGTCCCATTATCTCCCAGCTGCATAGACGTTCCATACGGCTTGGTTCTGCCTGGATGCACAGCATGCCTGACTGAGGGCTTGAGACAGAGTTCTGCAGAAAAATTGTAAAGATCCCGAGACATTTCCCTGGTAAGATCCGTAAGTACGAAACTGCGCTGTCTGCTGCAATGAGAATATTGCTGGGCAAGCTGCAGCTTCTCGTTTTCAATCTCTTTGTATTACTATAACAGGTAAAACTGGGGTTGCTTGTATGGGGTGGCTGGCCCTTTCATTAATGCTGTGTTTTTATGATGCTGATGATTAAGATGCATTTATTCCCAGTGAGAGAAAAAAATGCATTGAATCTGTTTTCGGGGGAGGTTAGGATCAAATCAGGCAAAGAGAGACTACAGGTATATTTTTCCGTGTTTTTGCTGCAGTAAAACTAATGGGCAAGACGGGATGACAGTGCTAATTCTGGTTACTTTGGGATGGCTACACGCCTTTTCTGTAACAGCAGATGGGAAGATGTGACTGCTATTTTTTTTTTTTTTCTTTCTTTCTCTCAAGGGCTGAGGGGTGGGGTTTGCAGTGGTTGCAGATGATTTAAAGGAACGGTTATAAAAGTTTCCTGGGAGAGGGTTTTGGTGAAGGGTGAGATGTGAGACAGGAGGTCAAATGGGCTCAACAAATTTTATCTGGCATTTGAGTTGTACTCAGCCTCCAGAAAATAGCTTGTAGAATCACCTGGTTTTTTTTTCAATTTACACCAGTTAAGCTTATAAAAGTCTTACAATACTTTATGAAAAGTTTCAGAAGTTGATGACTTGGGAGCAAAACTTTGCAGAGTTCTGAGATTAGCCATGTATATATAGCCCCATTATGTTAATGTGATATTATAACATTGTGGGCTTGGGGGATATATGAATTCATAGCTCTTGTTGCTCCAAATGAAAACTACTTAGGTTTAAATAATCAGCATCCTGAATATGTCTTCTGAGAAACATTCACAGAATGAATAAATAGAAGTTATAGTGATGAGAAAAAAAAACCAGGGAGAACAGTGGAATTATACAGAATCAATCTGGAAAAATGAGGGGATCAAACTGTTTTTTCCAAAGCGACAATGTTTTTCAAAGATAGCTGTAAAAGAAGGAGCCATATGTTGACTATTGAATCTCTTGATCTAGACAATTTTCATTTATCTGATAGATTTATCATTTTTTAAAAAATCAGTGTTGTTGAATGTTTCTCTAATTTACATGCATTGCATTTTATAATGAAAGAAGATACATGAGCATTCTTTTCTACCCTCTTCCCTTTCATACACACATGCACATGTGTAAATATACATATTTTCACAAAACAACCATATGCACATAAAATATTGGCAGAATTTATAGAGCAAATAGAAATAGTCATTTCATTTTTGATGCTTCATAGGTTATTTTTAACATAATCATGGCTATGTTGTCTGAAGATTCCAAAGCAGGAAATTTTTATATAAGACATTAAATGCAGAAGTTATCACCTCTTAGCAAAAGTCCATCATTTAAAATTGACTGCATTGCATTCATTCCTTTGAGCATTGCTAGTGAATTCTCATAGTTTTTCAGAATA